AAATAGTAACACAAACTATATACAAAGTTCTGCCGAATACAAAAACTGTGGTGACATATATCAACATATGGGTGACACATAATACAGTTGAAAGGAAAATATTAAATAAGAATTCAGATGTTTTTAGGTCTTCAGCTGTGACAGTGTTTTATAATAAAGTCACAGGTTAGTATTTTGAATCTTTCAATTGAGTTCAACTGTGCCATCTCAAAGTCATGCTGTTTTCCTTGAAATGTGATGTTTCAAAATATGAATTATATAATAATTCTCAGTAATTATGATTTATGACTTTCCCCAGCCAAAATTATTTCTGCAAGTCACATTTTCGTATTTTAAAAAGATTTAATTTCTTTTCTTCATTGTACTCTTGCTCGGTACCCAAGAAGATGCTGATTATTAATGGATAAATAGTGACATTTGACTTTACAAAATTCTGCCAAATACAGAAAACAAACCCTCTCCTTTCACCTTCCCCATCCCCAAATAGTAATAATAAAAGGTTGTAATTACAACAGGTAAAATAATTCCAGGCAGATTTGTGGTTTTCAAATGTAATTTGGACCTTTCAAAGGATAGAAAGGAATTCTAGGAAGAAAAAGAATTTACCCTATTTACTCAAATACAAGATGAGGTTTTCCCCCCAGTAGGCTGAGGGGGAAAAAAGCCCTTCATCTTGTTATCATATGCAAGGGGCGCTCACTAAATGCATTGTCTGTCATTAAACTGCTGCCAAAAGCAGCCTGTGCTCAGCATTGGAAACCAACTATGAAGATTAAATGCAGACAAAACTGAGCATACCTATAAAACACATGGCCCACACTGGGCAATCATGCTGATGGGACCCTACCACAAGGTAAGGTTAGCGCAGCCTACCTGAATAAGATGTACGGCAGCGCCCATTAAGTGCAGTTCTCACTGCCAACTGTTTTTCAAGTCGTGGTGAGTCACTACATTGCATACATTTTGATTTCCTTTCTTTCCCACTTCCAGTGATTCTTGTTACTTCACGAGCCTTAAATGCCTAGCAAACACCATGAAATGAAGAGCCCAGACAGTTCACACAGAAGCCCTCTGTCACTGCTCCTCTCAGCCTATTGCGTATGATCCGTGTGGCCCCACCCTCCATGAGGTGAAGCCAGATCAGGTTGCCCTGCACCTTATCTGCATATAAGTTTTTGGAGCATCCCTGGACTCATGATAAGAACACCCAGTTCCAGTCATGTGTGGGCTAATTAGCACATGGATCCTTTGTTGGGGGGTATCTGAAGTACACACACACACTTAGCAGTGCTGAGCTGTGGGGTCACCATGGCTTGAAACGCTGTTGACTCTGGTGGGGCCCAGCTCAATGAACTGTGTGATAAATCATGAACCTTTGGCTTTGGACTAATACCAGACCTAGTTTGTACTACATATAAGTAGGTGCCAAACTGTTGCTCAAAAGTATATTAGCATCTCTGCTAAAACTTGCAGCAGTTTAAAAAATAAGGTAACATACATCAATTCTGGATGAACTAAATGTCTGGGTACTATATGCAAATTGCTACCGCTGTGTTTAATTTCAAGGTTATTGTTTTCAAATGTGCTCCTCACTTCCATGTGCTTAGGGAGAGCAGGGTCTGACTGTAAGAAGATAGGAAAGGTGCTGCCAGGGGAAAAAGTTGGAGGTGGGGGGAAGCAGAGAGCAAAAGGGCTACTTGACTCCCCAGATTTATTTTCTCTGCAATGCCAGTGAGGAGAACAAATTCAAGGCAAACCTCCAAAAATTAGTTTCTTTACCTGGAAGATTATAACAAATTTATAATTTTTCCATAAATAGAATCTAATTATTGGGGGGTCATCTTGTAATCAGGATTGTCTTCTATTTGAGTAAATATAGTCATTTAAAAATCAAAATTAAGATTTTTCAAAGTTGGGTTATTTCTGAGTTAAAGCTGTGCTATTAAAACACTAACTGAACCCACTTTTGTCTTCTAGCAAATTGACAATTTGTCTCACAGTAACTTTCCAGAGATCGTGCTAGAGCTGTTGATGACCTTACATGAGCCAGCCAACACTGAGGCAGGAGAAGGATCTCACCTAAGTAAATTTATGGGGTATGTAGACACAGAATTTTAGAGCATTGTGCTAGATGATGGGTGTATGCATTTCTTCTTTCCCCTTCTGAAGTGGAGGAATGAGAAAAGTTACACAAATGAGTAATGCAACATGTTTTATTACTTTATATCATGCCTGTGTACTAATTCTGTTGATTTCTATTGAATTGCTAGTGAGGCTGTAAAACTGCAGAATGTTCCTGTTTCTTTGTTCCTCGTGGCTAGAAGTAGGGGAGTTCTTTGGGTCTGTTTCCTAGTCTTAATTGATTTTTTGGGTTACTGTCCAGCTTTTTTAATATTAGTCCTGTAGAGGTTCTTTAAACTTCTGTTTGTTGATTTGCTGAAAGTATAACTGATTCTTCAGTAACTGGCAGGTGTCACTATTGTTACAATATTGTTTTTTGACAATGCAGTTACTCTTGCCTAAGAAGGATGAAATTGCATCTGCTTTGCAACATTTTCAGTATTTTTAATGAATCCAAAATCATGATACCTGAGTATATTTTTGGAAGTTTTATTGTTATATTCTTTTAAATCATTCAGGGACCTGGACCCTGCTCCTAATCCTCCTCATTTTCCATCTGACGTGATCAAGGCAACCTTGGATTATATTAGCGGTTGTCATAAAGCCAAGTTAAAAAGTCTTGTAGCTGTTCTTTCTAAAAATCCTGTAAGTATATGATTTTGCAGTTTTTTGATTGTTAAAATTTCTTTTTTAAGTATATTGTGTTTTACTTATGTTTTCACTATGTGTAAACCAAAAAACATACTCTCAGTTGTACAATTAGAGGGCGTAGCTGTGCTACTTTTAGCATTAAAAGGAGGAAGCATATGTAAAATATAGAAAAGAGAAAAAAGTCTCAGTTAAAAATGAATCAAGTTGTGTGAGATTTACTTAGAGTAAATAAAATTTAATCCATTAGAATGGCAGCACTTCTGTCATTACTTTTTAAACAAAGCAGAACACAGACATGCATGTTGTAAATATTAAATAGTAAAAATAGTAATATTTGTTTCCTTTGCTGGTAATGTGGACTTCCACTTTCTCCTGGTTTAGGCTTTTTTTAGGGGCCCTGCGGGCTGGATGGAATGGCCTGGTGGGCCGCATCTGGCCCGCAGGCCGCATTTTACACACCCCTGCTTTACAGAAAGGTTTGGCTGTTATCATCTATGTTGCCTCTCTGTGGAGGGAAAAAAGTTGTTTTAAAAATATTAGAGGTGGAGGGAGTATGATCTATTCTATACCTTCACTCCTAGAATTTATCTCTATGTTCTGTAATTTAAGCCCCCTCTACATGTTACAGGTGTTGCACAGTTAACTGGTTAATTGCACAGTTAACTGGTTAATTGCACAATTACCTTAAGACCAGCTACAACAGGGGCGGGCATTTATTTCAGGCAAAGGGCTGCTTACTGAGTTTTGGCAAGCCATCGAGGGCAGCATAACAGGCAGCCAGGGGCAGATAAATATTAATTTTCTAAATTTCTTAGGGGTCCCGCAGGCCAGATGGAATGGCCTGGTGCGCCGCATCTGGCCTGCGGGCTGCATTTTGCCCACCCCTGAGCTATAAGTACAAAGTAGCTATCACAGGATAAAAAGCTCCAATCAGCTATAAAGTTAGACCTTGAAGATGTGTACTAACTTGATAGCTAATTGCTATTGACCTTTAATTTGCACATGTAGCAGGGTCTCCCCTGTGGCTTGGAGCCCCATCAGCTGACAGGACTCCCAGTTGCAGGGGTGCACTCTGCCAAGTGTGAAACCCCTGGGCCCTGGGGATTGCAGCAGCTGCAGTCCTTATGACTCAGGGGTGTATGAAACCCCCAGGACCTGGAGATTGAGGCAGGCATGATCCTTAGGGCTCAGAAACCCCTGGGTCCTGGGGATCAAAGCACAACCCCTAGGACTTAAGGATTCATGAAACTCCTGAGGACTGTGACAGGTGCGATCCCTAGGGCTTGGGGGTGTGCCTGCCTTGGTCCCCAGGGCCTGGGGGTTTCACACATCATGCAGTCCTCATTGCCACAATCCCTTAGCCCTGGGGATGCATGGGGCATCCCTGTCTGGGAGCTCCTCAACTTGGATTGGGCTTCTCCTGCACTAGCAATACAGTGTGTGTGTGGCACAGCAGGAGGTGCAACTGTGTGGGTTGCACTTTTGATTCCGTCATAGATTCATAGATTGTAAGGCCGGAAGGGACCCCGGAAGATCATCAGGTCCAGTCCCCTGCACTAAGCAGGAAAGATAACTGGGGGTCAGGTCACCCTAGCAAGGTGACTGTCTAGTCTCCTCTTGAAGATTTCCAGGGTAGGTGATTGCATCACCTCTGGAGGGAGCTTATTCCATAGTCTAGACACCCTAACTATGAAGAATTTTTTCTTTCTGTTGAGCCTGAATCAATTTTCCAAGAGTTTGTGGCCATTACTCCTGGTTTTCCCCTTGGGTGCCCTGGTGAACACTTGCTTACCCTATCCTTGATATTCTCCCCTAGTGTAGTGGCAAGCTGCTGCCTGGTTTCCTCTCAGCCACCTTTTCCTCAAGCTGAAGAGTCCCAGGTCCCTCAGCCTTTCCTCATATGGCTTGCCTTTTAAGACTCTAATCATACGGGTGGTTCTTTGGACTCTCTCAAGCTTGTCCATGTCCTTGTTAAAGTGTGGTGCCCAGAACTGGACTCAGTACTCCAGCTGCAATTTCACCAGTGCTGAGTAGAGTGGAAGAATCATCTCCTTGGTTTTGCTAGAGATGCATCAATTGATGCACATCAGAGTATTATTTGCCCTACTGGCTACGGCATCGCCCTGCCGGCTCATATTCATACTGTGATCTGTTATTACCCCCAGGTCCCTTTCAGTCATGGTGCTAGTCATTTTGGTGCTGCAAAGCCTATAGGTATGTTGGGGGTTGCTCATCCCAGGGTGGAGCACTTTACATTTCTCAGCGTTGAACTTCATCAGGCTCCGATCCACTCAACTTGCTAGACTGTCTAGGTCTGCCTGTAACTGTAACCTATTTTCAAGCATAACCACACTTCCCCATAACTTGGTGTCATCTGTGACACCTTTACCTGCACATGTGGAGGGGGCCTTAGTGTCCAAAATAGACACACCTTTGTACATGACTAAGGAAAAAAGTTAGGTGTTAGATTCTTTCTTGAAGTGAAATAACTTCTGCTATTTTGATCTGAGAAACTGCTTTTCTCTTGATGTTTTTATTAATTTTTAGGATTCGTTCCAGAAAATCCTACTAGCCATATGCAAACAGGCAACTGATACAAACAATATTTACAAAAAACACAGAATTCTTATTATTTATCACTTGTTTGTTAATTTGTTACTTAAAGAGATAAAAGATGGCTTAGGAGGAGCTTGGGCCTTTGTTCTTCGTGATGTAATTTATACCCTGATTCACCACGTCACCAACAGGTAAGTCCCATGATTGTCTTCTCTTCCTTATGTTTTTACTTCCTATTATCTTCACATTTCAATCCTGGCTCTCAATTGCATCATATGTGTAGGAACTGTTCAAAAGTTGACACTAATGACACATCAAAGATTGATTACTGGTTATGTTATGGATTATAGCCTTGTTCTGTTGTCTGAAAACGACAGAAGACTTACTGAACTTGGGTGGGCATCTTCAAAATCACCTTTCCTTGATACTTTGTTAGTTCTCATTTTAATAAATATTGTCTATATTAGTCACAGTAACGTAAAAAGAACTAAAATGTGCTACTTGATATCAAAGGGCAGCCAGAATTATGCAGACATCTTCATTGTAAAAAATAATATTTTGGTAAATCTCTTTCATATCCTTTCTTTGTACAGCTTCTAATTTTGTTACTCAGAGGAATATGATTGAGTTTGCAATGTTGTCTACTAATTATAACAAGGAATTAGGCTATTTCAACTTAAATTACTCATTCTTTCATAAGCCTAAACTGTCTATCCTAAATCAAACTAGTTTTATAATCATGGCTCTGAATTCTCTCCCCTGATCCTGCTACTTGTTTTTCTTTCCAGAGCATCCTTTGTGTTATATCATTTTTGTGAGCTTCTGTTCTGACCGCTTTCCTGCAGTTCCCAAGTTCTTTAGACCACCATGTTTTCCCTTTTTTTAAACCCCAGGCTTTATCTCTACTTCAACACGTCCAGCTGCCTTGTGACTGACAACTTTCTTTGCTATGTATTCATTCTGCTTGTCTAATATCATATCCTTTCTGCTCCCTCAGTAAGCTGCTGGTCTACTTTCTGCCATGTGCTCCCTGCCTGATCTGAAGCTCTGCTTTCTGGTTCCTGCCCTGTCTGCCCCTGTCCTACGTGTCCCCTCTCCAATCTGCCGCATACCGTGCATACAGACTGCCTGTGCCACTTGGCAAACCCTGCCCAAGAGTCTAGTTCTGAGGCAACAAGTAGATATTGGAGCAGATTCTATGGCAACAAAACACTGGAGCTGTCACTGCAGCACTAGCACTGGGACAGAAATGTGGAATGTAAGCAGTGGAAGCCTGTATTTTTCCCCACTGACAATCCATCATTAAACTGTATTCATAAGGGAATAATTTAGCTGCTACAAAAAAGCAAACATTTGAGGTTTGGTACCACTAAATCGTGTGGGCAGATTCCTTCTGGGAATTGGGTTGACAGTTTTAAGATCTCAAGCAATGCCTCCTATAACTTGTTTATATATTCACCTTCCTCCTATTTCTTCTTACAGTAAGATAAAGCTAGTACTTTGAGTAGAGATACTTGTTTTTTAATTTCATTCCTCAATTGTTTTGTTTCCTGTAACAGACCCACTGCTGTCAGGGATGTATCCATGCGCAGCTTTTCACTCTGTTGTGACCTTCTAAACCGTGTCTGCCATGCAGCAGTCACATATTGTAAGGATGCCCTAGAGAGTCATCTTCATGTTATTGTAGGCACGCTAATTCCCCTTGTTGGTGACCAGCCCGAGATTCAGGAACAGGTAGATTTTCATAAGATGCATTTGTTGTTTTTCTTTATTTGTAGGATAGTTTTTGTAATTTTATTAACTATCTACATTTTTATAATTAATAATACTGCCTATGTAATAATTAGCGGTGTACCAGTATATTGCTTGGCTATCGGATTGACACTGATAAAAGGAGAAATGACATTATTGGCTTTTTTGGTTGTTGTAGCCAATAATTATGGCCATGTGCCCAGAGCACCCTGGCAAGCGTAGTCTGGTCCCTGTGGCCTGGCCCAGGCATGCGGCAGACTGTATGTCCTGGCAAGAGCAGGGAGCTGACGGGGTGCTGTGCTCAGCAACAAAGGAACTGTTACCAGCTCCTGCTGATATTGCTGCTGCCATGGAACAGTGCATGCACAGCAGGGGCCTATGTAGGGGCTGCTGCAGTGACATTGGGCTGCATACAGGTGGAGTAAGGCACCATGCAAGGAACATTCCACTCCACCGGGCACAAGATGCATTTGGAAAAGTGGCTTCCCCCCGGCAGCTGCATGAGCTCAGCTGCCGGGGCCCACTAGCACTGAGGCAGTGGTGTGCTCTGGGGCTCCAAACGCACCCAGTGCTGCTGTCCTCACAAGGGTTCACCTCGCTCAGGACAGCAGCACAGGCTGCATGAGGAGTGGCACTGCGGGCTGGAGCCACATGCAGGTAGGAGCCCTGGGCAAGGGGAGTGACGTGTGGGAATAAGGCAGTCACTGCTTTCCTCATCAAGGGCCAGAGCAGGCAGGGCGTGCATATGAGAGAGAAAGAGAGAAATACAAAACAAACAAAACAAAACAAAAAAGGTGTATTTATGTCAATAGTTTAAAATGCCTTGCATTTTATTACTGTTATCTATTACTAAATGTCAGTTATTGGATTGGAATCGGCCAATATGGTTGGTTCAGCATCGAATGTTGGTATCGGTCAAGAAAACCTTAATCAGTGCATCCCTAGTAATAACCCATATTAAAGTTTAATCCCTTTGTATTATTTAACAATGAGATTTGTTGTTAAGGAAAGTGTAGGTTTTAATAAATTTCTGCTTTTTCAACTTTTTTCTTTAAGCCCCGTATAGGGCTCCTTGTGCCTCGCACTAAGAGCCATGGAACCTGTGATTAATGCGCCATAGAAAGACTTGCCATGGTTTCATAGTTGGTAGGGTCGGAAGGGACCTGAGCAGATCATCAAGTCTGACCCCCTGCCATGGGCAGGAAAGGATGCTGGGGTCAAATGACCCCAGACAGGTGATCATCCAACCTCCTCCTGAATTTGTCCAAGGTAGGGGTGAGGACCACTTCCCTGGGAAGTTGGTTCCAGATTTTGGCCACCCTAACTGTAAAAAATTGCCTTCTGATCTCTAACCTAAACCTATTCTCCATCAGCTTATTACCAGTGTTCCTCGTCACTCCAGGTGGTGCTGGGGAGAAAAGGGCTCTACCTATTTGCTGTTGATCTCCCGTGATGAATTTGTAGGCAGCCACCAGATCCCCTCAGCCTCCTCTTGCTGAGGCTGAACAGGTTCAGGTTCCTCAGTCTCTCCTCATAGGGCCTGTCCTGCTGCCCTCTCACCAAGCGGGTGGCCCTCCTCTGAACCTTTTCCAGGTTGGCCACATTCCTTTTCAAGTGCGGCACCCAGTACTGGATGCAGTACTCCAACTGTGGCCTGACCAAAGTCGCACAGAGGAGTATCACCTTCCTGGACCGGCTTGAGATGCATCTTTGGATGCATGACAAGGTATGGCTAGCTTTGCTGGCTGCGGTCTGGCACTGGTGGCTCATGTTCATCTTGGGGTCAATAATGACTCCAAGATCCCATTCCGCCTCTGTGCTTTCAAGAGGGAAACTCCCCAGCCTGTATGTATGCTGAGGATTCCTTCTCCCAAGGTGCAGCACCCTGCATTTGTCTGAGTTGAACCCCATCCTATTCTCATCTGCCCACTTCTGTGGTCTCTCTAAATATATTTGCAGCCTCTCTTTGTCTTGAAGTGTGTCCACCTCGCCCCACATCTTAGTGTCATCAGCAAACTTGGACAGTGTGCTTTTCACTCCCCCGTCCAAGTCACTGATGAAGTTGTTAAACAGTGCAGGCCTGGGGTACCCCACTGCTCACATCTCACCAGGTTGAGTACCACTCTCCACCACCACTCTCTGGGTGTGCCCCATCAGCCAGTTTTTTACCCATCCAACTGTGTAGCCATCAATGCCACAGTCACTTAATTTATTGATGAG